TTAAAGTAATTGCATAAAATATCTTAGAATTAACAGATTTATAAAAATAAATTTATTGGCAGCTTAAATAGATTTATAAAATGTTTTTTTAATTGCTTTTTCTTTTCTGGCATCTTTTGTGAAAACTGAATATGAAAGATAATAATTTTGATTTGGGTCCCACAATTATTCCTATATCTTAATAGTTAATAGAAAACTTAAAGATGATGTCAACAAAATTTATATTTTTCTAATTTATAATTAATAAAATAATATTGTCTTTGAAATTAATTGAGTCAAACAATCTTCATTTCTTTTCAATTTCCATTTTATATTTTGTCAACTAATTAAATGTTAAAAACAATTGTTCTTATGCGAAAGAAATGCTGTATTCACGTACACTATACTGTAGTGATATTGAATTTATATAAGCAGCATTCAATAAATTGTAATTAATTCTGAGAAAATATTTTACAATCATGCGCATTGAAAACGTTCAGGATAAGTCAGAAATTCAGTATTAGGGAAAAAGTATCGATTAGAAAATTTAAAGTAGGCAACTTTAACCCAATTTAAAATTATGACACGAAATCACGTCTTGATTCCTAGCAATTACTAGTACTTTATCCTGTCTAATCAATCTCCATCTGTGAATTTTCACTCCGTCATATCCATTTCTATTTATTGAATCCTTGTTCTCTTAAGGTGTGTTTCAAATTTATACGGACACGAAAAAATTAAAGTGAAACCCAAATTTGCTGCATTAAGTGACAAATGTTTTATTAAAAATAACATGGATTTACTTGTTTCCATACTGCAAAATAAGAATTTTAATCAAACATTAACATTTTGTCACTGAAAATAATATTTTTTAAAATTTTGTACAAAAAAACTGTTACATATTTATCCGGACAGGCACTCATTTCATGACTTAAATAGAATATTGTTTAGTTTCAAGCATTGAAATATGCAAATCAGCTTACATATCTAATTGTAATACAAATTCTTTATGTTGTTCAACGTTCTAAAATGGGTAGAACAAAGAATTTATCTGATTATGAAAAAGAGCAGATTGATGCCTATAAATCACAAGGCAAGTCAATAAGAGAAATTGCAGCATATATAAATCGTCCAAAATCAACTGTTGGTGATTATTTATCAAAAAGACGTGGCTAGGATGTACCAAAATTCAAGACAGGTCCAAAACCCAAGCTTATACCTCGAGATTGAAGACAAATCATCAAGGTTTGCTCCACAAAACAAACATCAGTAAGAAAAATAAAACAAGAATTAGACTTACCTTGTAGCAGCACAACAGTGTGGAGAGTTTTAAATAAATCTCCAATGTTAAAATTCAGAAAAAAAGCTGTAATGCCACCACTTTCATTAAAGCACAAAAGTGACAGACTTGATTGGGCACAAAAACACATGACATGGTCCGAAGAATGGATTGAAGTTTTGTTCAGTGATGAAAAAAAATTCAACTTAGATGGTCCAGACGGTTGGAAGTATTATTGGCACGATTTAAGAACCGAAAAACAAATATTTTCAAAACGCCAAATGGGTGGGGGATCAATAATGGTGTGGGGTGCGTTTGGATTCAACGGAACCACAGATTTAGCATTTATAACTCAAAGAATGAATTCAAAGAAGTATCAAGGCATGCTTGAAGATCATTTATTGGAAGCTGGACCAAATATTTGTGGACCAAATTGGATCTTTCAACAAGACAATGACCCTGTGCATGCCTTTAAATCAACAAAAATGTGGTTTAAACGTAAAAATATTAATCTGATGACATGGCCTGCTGGAAGCCCTGACCTGTATCCGACGGAAAATCTTTGGGGGATGATGGTTCGTACAGTTTATGCCAATGGAAAGCAGTTTTTCCACAATTCATGATTCGAAGGCAGCAATTTCAGATGCTTGGGATAAACTTAAGATTGAATTACTTCAGAATCTAATTGAAACAATGCCTAATCGAGTATTTAATGTAATTAAGTTAAATGGTGGTTACATTGGCCATTAAATTGTAAGAAAACTTTGAAATTTGAAATCCGTCCGGATAAATATGTAACAGTTTTTTTGTACAAAATTTTAAAAAATATTATTTTCAGTGACAAAATGTTAATGTTTGATTAAAATTCTTATTTTGCAGTGTGGAAACAAGTAAATAAATGTTATTTTTAATAAAACATTTGTCACTTAATGCAGCAAATTTGGGTTTCACTTTAATTTTTTCGTGTCCGTAGAAATTTGAAACACACCTTAGGTCTCTCTTTCTCATAGAAATTTTTAGTCATTTTCAATCTTTCATTCTTCGTATTTACGTCCTCTTCCACTTATTTCTCACTTTCTAACTCTGTTCACTCATTCATTCTCTAAGTCTCTCACGAATCGCGAAATTTCTAAATTAATTTTTCTCGTCATAATTATGCAAATTTAAAAGATAACCGATTAATTTTCAATTATTTAAAACTTATAAGTACTGTTTTTTTAAAAAATACCTTAATAGTTTTTAAAATTTAATGTAAAGTCATTCATCAATTAGACTCATAGCAATAGAATTTTACGTATAAACTGGGAAATGATTTGCAAATAAAATCTAGTTAATGAATTTTTATGCTTTTATATCGAAATACTAGTTTTGAGAAGGAAACATTTATAGATTACTTAATTTATAATTCATTTTTAAACAATATTTACATAATTTGTTAAAAATGACGAGTGGTTACTCTTTACACGGATTATGCATTTTGCATCCCTCTGTTCTAATGAAAAATCAAGGGATGCAGTTACAACCCGAGTTCTGAATGTCAGAAAATCATCTCTAAGAATTAATGGAAGTTTTTGAAGCATTAAAAACGTTCATTAATTTTTCTGAGATGATTTTCTACGTCTTCATCACCTGTTTAGTTTAAAAAATTATCCACTTGGAGTAATATTTCAATTATTTCAAACTAAAGCAATTTGAATAACTGAATTATCTTTAAAATATTTTTTGTGTAAATGTTTTATAGGCACTAAAAAGTTGTATTTAAATAAGCCACGTATGTAATAAAATAAATTTAATCTGTCATTAATAATGAGTTTATTGCGAGTTTTCAATTCAAATTTATTATAATACCCGGAAATATCTATATTATTATATCAAGAAATTATTTAATGTTTATTCATTGTAAATTTTATTTAAAAGTCAATAAGTTGTTCAATGTAATTAATTTTAAATACAGTATTATTCTGAATTTTCGACGTTTAAAGTATTTTTATTACTCGAAATTATTACGATGTTATCAATAACAAATAGATGTTACTGATTAATAAATTACCGTGTAAACATTTATAATTAGTAAATCTAATTGGATATTTAATAAGAATTACTTATATTAAAAATTCAAAGTTTTTATTCAGCCTTCATGGTGCACAGAATCATTTGAAAAGATTGATTTTTGGCATCATAAATCACCAAATCCATAATTTTTTTTTATGATCACATTAAATTGATCCAGAATTTAATATGATAATGTCGGTGATTATCTAATGATAAGCATAGTAATTTAAACATATATTTTAAACTATTAAATGACCTTAAAATCAGTTAACCATAATTTCACAAACATTTCTAAAACTTTTACAAGAATGTCAGCAATTCGTGTGTTAAAAATTGTAATGGAATTCTGTGTAATGAACAAGAATGGTTACATTTTAAATAATTTTCGAGAATTTTATAAATAATCACGTATTTGAGTAAAACGAAAATTTAGGCTTTAGAATTGTTCATTGATTTTGGGGGCATTCTGTACATTAAGACTGCAATTAAATGCTTTAAGAGTAAATCTTTATGACTTGCCTTAATTGATATCTTTCAAATAAGTTACAATATAGATTTATTTTTCTGTAAAGTAAATATGAAAAAAAATAATTTATTTTTTAAGTTTAATTTTCGTTAATACAAAGAACTGTTAGTTTAATTAAGAACTTTAAAACATTTTTTGTCTTTATTGAGATAAAATTTTAACTTTTCTCAATTATAATATTGAAAAAACACAATACAAAATTTTAATTTTATAAATTCTTATTTAATTGTGCTGTACATAGGCCTGCCTGTAATGAGAATAATATATTTTACTAGTAATTGATATATATATAAATATACATAACAAGGAATTTAGTGTCAAATAACTCGAAGGTTGATACAAGTTACATTAGTGCTTTAGGAATGATTGAACTCCATATCACTATTCAACACTTTCATTAGTTTAGCTCTTCTACTTTCCAATTAGTCTTGAGGACTGACAAACAGACAACAGCGACTAACGACGAAGATAGACAAAGTGAATACTAAATTTTAATTCTAATTTTCCAGAAATACTGTCAATGATTTAAACTTTTAAATTACATAAATTAATAATAACATTTATAACTAGTATACAAGATATATTACTGTATAATTAGAATATAAATCTTGTTATACATTAATATTAAGCGTATATACGTATAGGAATTAAAAAAAAAAAATAGGCATTTTAGAGTAATGAGTAGCACAATACAGTAGACTAGGTGTCCCCAAATTTTTTTTTCCGTCGATCCCTTTATAGAATATTTACCTTCTCATCGACCACCAGATTAAGTATTTAACATAAACATTAAATAATTTTTGCATTTCTAATGTTAAGCGATAAGGATGCATAACAACCCAACAAAAGAATTTATAGTTCCCATATTTTATAAAATCCACCTAATAATATTAACAGAAAAAGGAGATATTTTCCACTAATTTATAATCTTAAAAAATAATAGAAAAATTATGGATAGAGGGAAATTTGCCTATAGTTCTTAAACCGTACATGTCATAATACGTAAAATACACACTTATCTTCGAAAACATAACATTAGTTATATTGGATGAAAAAACCTCTAACTGTCATTTTGCGATTTGTACTGAATGTCTTAAAAATATGTAGACATACCTTTTTATTAAAATAGTTGATATTAGTGGACATCCATTCCACTAATATCAACTATTTTAATAAAAGATTAATTTTAATAAAAGATCTCTGAAGAGAAGCAGCAAGATTATTGATATTCGGTTGAAAATTGGTAAGTTTTAGTCGCAAATCACCACGGTTTTCCAAGTTCAATCTGTTCCTCTGTTTTGTCAAAATTGCGTTCGCGTGGCTAAAACCAGCTTCAACCACGTATGAAGTTGGGAATGCAAGTAAGAAAGGTTCGGCTTCTGCTCTGAGCTTGGGATATTTAGTGGCAATATTGTTATTGCTCCAAAATTCACGTGAGACCTGAAAGGCCCCTGGGTCTAAATCGGTAATTTTATTAATAACGTTAATATTTTGTTATAAAATATTACTTCGTTTGGGTGAGAAAAATGACGTTTTAGAGTGGGAAAAATAGATAACAGATGTTACTTTCTTTCACAGAAGTTAGAACTAGAGATGCCACGAATATTCGGCTACTATTCGGTATTCGGCCTATTCGGCTACTTTTTTTAATATTCGGTATTCGGCCGAATAGTACGCAACATTCGGCCGAATACCGAATACCAAATCATGAAAAAAAACCGCACATATTACTCAAAAACGTATTTATTTTAATCATAAATTATTACATTTAATACTTAAAATCTATCAGTGGTAAGTTGTAATGAATGAAAACAATTTTTTCAGCATTTGTTGATAGCAAACGATTGCGCTTTTCCTCATAAACTATACCTGCTTCTGAAAATAGCCTCTCACTATATACACTACTGCTGGGAGACGATAGATAAATCTTAGCGAATTCTGTCAGGCTTGGATACTGTTTTGCGTTTGCTGACCACCACTTGTAAAGGTCTGCCGTCTGATCTAGGCGAACAGTTTTCATATAAAGTGATACAGTGATATTTTTTAGTAATAATTAGTAACGCAATTTGATGTAACAATGAACAAATAATGCACGTTGTGACATGATCTACTCGCAAATAAAACAAATGTGCCCGCAGTGTCGCCACCGCACCCACCGCAATGTATCAGGTCGTAACATATCACCTGCGAAATGTACACATATTTTGCCGAACATTCGGCCGCCGAATATTCGGCGCTTCGGCCAAGAGCGTAGCCGAATGTTCGGTATTCGGTATTCGGCAAAATCACTATTCGTGGCATCACTAGTTAGAACATCCTCTGTTTTTCCCTTATCTACGAAAACGTTCGCTTTGATGGGAAATGTTTACCCCTCACATATCCCCCTTTCCATCCGTTCTCACGGAGGAATCTTGGCATGATGATTGGTCGCCGATCGTGACATATAGAGGAAATTTGTCAGAATTCGGGGAGTTCAGCGACAGATCTGGAAGTGTCCAAACTCCACACATTTTCCTCCTGATGACCAACGCCCTTAGACGAGTCACTTACAATAAGTCCAGAGTCTGCACTTAGAAATTACACTTTGATTTTGTGCACATATCGATCTCCCATGGAAAGAAGTAAATGAACTTTATTTCCGAAGTGTCCCTTGCCTACAGAGAAGAAGACGAACGACAACTAGAACAGGTTGTATGTTTCTAACGATTTTGTGAGCTCTCTCTCTCGATCGCGCATTGAGTATAATATAAGTATAGATATCTCTCGATTTGTATATTATTTGTAGTAGTTCGATCTGTCGTTCATTAATATTTCTAACGATTTTGTGAGCTCTCTCTCTCGATCGCGCATTGGGTATAATATAAGTATAGATATCTCTCGATTTGTATATTATTTGTAGTAGTTCGATCTGTCGTTCATTAATATTTTTGTATGGGTATATTTTCTTTGTTTTATTAAATTTATTATTTCGTTTTTAATTAAAATGTCTCTTAATTTGATTCCTAATCGGATCTCACACGCGTGTTTGTCCGCGGATCGATAAATTGACAAACTGGTGTCAGCCCTGACAAGCATCTGAACTTCACAGTTCAGATCTTCTAGCGGTTATCGCTCTCCTATGAAACTTTTTGAGATCAGATCTAGTGATCTGGATCGTAGAGAACTAGACTTACCGACTAGCGGCCTAGTAAGTGATACAGGCGTAATAAACCTACCCTGTACCCCAGGTTGGATCTCACATTCACCGAGGTTTTTATTTTTAAACAACGCTTTAGCTTCGAGATCTACACATACTTCACTCAATTCACCTTCTAAGCCAGTTTCACTATCTTCATTATCTATTTTTATATCAAATGGATTAGCAAACCATTCGGAAACATGCATATTCTCCAATTCTTTGAAACGTGCTTTAAAGTCTTCTCTTAATTTATCAAGATGTTTAATATATATCTCCAAATCACGGTCGGAAATCTTTTCGTTTTCTTTTAGTACTCGCAAGTTTGAAAAATATTTAAAATTGGATCGTGCCAGCGAAGATTTAAATAGCTCCATTTTTACTTGAAATGCCATTTTTTCTTGCAAACGCTTCTGTACTATATTAATGATTTTCGATATATTACGATATTTTCTCTGTAAAGGACAAAAAATCTATATTTAGATATAAAATACTTAGAGTGACAACCCAACTAGAGTGTAACAGTGCAACGTATGTCTGTGTATAATGAACTACCAGCGTTCATAACATGTTTGCAACACTAGTACTGTTGCCAGATGCGTGAAAACAGAGTAACACATGCTTAAAGCTGCGTAGGCTAAGGCAAATCTCAAGTTATAACTAGAGTAGGCAGTAATGTTGTTGATCATATCCGTATTTCGAATTTTTATTGGAATATTCTATTTTTTTCCTAGACAATTTAATTGATCCTCTTTGGTATTAATCGACCCCCTTTCGACTCTCGTGTATTCATCGACCCCTGGAGAACT